ACAAAGAATAAGAGAAATACAAAGAGATATTATTAAAATTGATTATAATTTTAACTATCTCTCTATTAAAAATGAAATATTAAAATCCAAAAAACCTCAAATCTAAGTTTTATCCAATTTTTAAATATTGATGTTATTTTGAAAAGCATATATAATTATATTTATGCGTCAAATTTATTTTATAAATTAATTGAAATAAAAAATTAGTTTATTATTGTTATTATTAAATTAATCTATTTTTATTATTCATAATTTTTATTTTAAAATTTTTACATTTTTTTCTTTAAAAAAACGAAGAAATTTTTCTGTAATTTAAAAAACCGACACACATAATCCAGGTTAAAATTGATCATATTATCCTATATATATATATATATATATATATATTGGACTTTGAATCCCACAAGTATCGAGTTGGTTATTTACACAAGTTCAGAGAAAAAAGTTATAGGATATCAAATTCCATTTCTTTTCGTTTGGGTCAAAAAATTTAATCATTTCGTGAAACTTTTGACCAGCAAATTAGACTTTAGCGATCTAATTACTTCATCAACTCTTTAGAACTCATCAAAAGCATATTTTTTCAGAAAAAAAGTAAAAGGAATTATGTACCGCAAAATTTAGAAGAAAAATATTAAACATTCTTTTAATCTCTTTCTCTCTCTCTCCACATTTTAATGATAAAAGCTGGAAATTTTATTAATTATCTTACTAATAGATAATTTGAATAGAATACCTTATATATACATGGGTAAAACCTAGATAAATCAAATTTTGCGAAAATTATGCATAGTCTACGAACAGGATTATATCTTAAAAAAAAAAAAAAAAAAAAAATGAAATATTTATTGAGGTCACTTGCCCAGAGCTATTGATTCTCTTTCAAAGTTTAAATCACTAAAGTCGGTATCAAAACTACAAAAAATTATAAAAAAAATGTTCGATTGAACAAAAGAACTAAATATTGCTATTTTTACATTCGATGTTTTTACATTTGTTATAAAAAAATTATAATTAAATGTGCTTTATTATCTTTATTTTTCAATAAAAAACGACAAACCCTATTACATATAAAAAACATTTTTTTGTAAATTTTATTTGTAGGTAAAATTTTTTAAACATTAAAAAATTACTGAAATAATGATAATTTATATTAAAGAAAAAAAAATTTGGAAATATATTTGAAATAAAATTGTATATATACTGCTTTAAATAAGAATAAATTGATTTCGTATCTTTTGCGAGATTGAATATGAAACTGAAATCAATAATTGCGTGTGTGTATTTTCTATGTGTACACGCGTATAAATAATCAAACTACAACACAAGAGCTTTTCTGTAAATCCGAGTACACGAGCTATGAATTACTCATTGATAGATACGATTTGATAACAGAAACAAGCGGTATTTAGCAACAAAAGTGAATATAGCGTACAATTAACATTTGATGAAAAATTACATTTAAAAAAAACGCAATTCTAATAATTTATTTTTATGTAGATTTAATTTCTTTTTTTATTTTAGATCTCTTTAATACAATGAAAAATGGTATAATAATTTTTCAGAGGCCTTTGAAGAAAATTATTTTTTTAATTATTATAGAGATCAAAATACAATTCTGCGTGGAAAAACTTTTTATGACTCAATATCTAAAAAATTTAATTTTCTAGTAGAAAGAGTATCAGACACAATTCACGTTTTTAAGTAAAAAAAAATTTTTTCAAGAGTGAGACAACCTTATAAGTATAGAAAAAGTTATATTGAGTCAGACTCGTTTTAATGGAGAAATTTGTAAAGGGAGAAAAATCACAATTTTGCTTTAATAGAAATTTATCTCATGTTTGGTTTATATTATTAATTTGATACGTATATATTCTATAATTTTAAGGGAAAACATATAATTGAATGCATAATTACCGCGTATAGAACTATTTAATAGTAGAGAATAATTGTAGGGAATAATAACTTCGACAATAACGATTTTACAATAGTATTCAAGAGAGGCGAGTTCTACAAGACAAGTTAAGCGCGTTAAATTCTAAACCTCTAAATGAACCACAAACATAATATTATAGTTAGACTATTCTATATGGAAATGTTTGTAATAAATGTTATTCAACACACGTGAATTGAATTCTACAATTTTATAACAATAAGATCAAGTTTCATTATAATAAATATTTTCGTTATTATAATATTTACGAGGGGGAATTTACTGATGGAAAAATCCCTATTACGTTTATTACTCTATTATTACACTTATTACAAGTATTACCGTTTATTACAGGGATATTACAAGGTATTACGCTTAATTACACAATTTCATTTTTCCATTTTAAAAAATGTCTAATTTTGTTTTTCATCTGAAGCTGTTTTTCCTTTTTAAAAAAATTGTTTTTTAATTACATAAAAGGTATAATAATTAAGAAGTTAATTAAAATTAAAAATTGAAAGGTATTTATTAAAAATTAAAGTTAAAAGATAAAATTCATAAAAACTTTAAAATCCAATTAGTATTTTTTATACATTGAAAAAAAAATTTCATCAAATTTACCTCTATAAAATTACAAGTTGTCCTCTAAAAACGTTTTTCAATGTTCCGCAAGTGAAAAAATAAATATACTCTCTCTCTCTCTCTCTCTCTTTCTGAAAAATTGTTGATGGGTTGCATTACGAGTGAATAAATTTTCAACAAAAAAAAATTGTCTTGTGTAAAAAAAATGTCGTAAAAAAATACATTTACATTTAGAAGGGTGTAAAAAAACATTTTTAAGTGATCAAAAACTTCTCTCAAGAGGCTTCCAGTTTCCCTTTTTTCTCTCGAATCTAGAGATATATTTTTTTTTATGATGAATGTGTATAATGTAACCGCAATGGGGGAGGAAGAGCGACGTATGAAAATTACACAGGCAACTTTACACAATAAATAATAATCAATCAAAGGTTTGAAAAAAAATTCTTTTTATAACTGAATACGCATAAAAGTGTTTTCTACGTTTTTTCGCACAAACAGTAGAGTCATAAAGATAAAAAAGGAGAAAAAAAATAAAAATCTGAATTTTTTTTTGAAATTATATTTTTTATGACTGAGTGTTTTTCAAATTTTTTACGAATGAATTAAATAATTATAAATAAAGTCAATAGCAGAGAAACATTCGTTTCATTTTATTTCAAACAAGAAAAGAAACTAGGAATACCCTGATAGAACAAAATAGGACAATTTCTGAACGGGAATTTTTGTTTCTTTTTCTGAAACATTAAAAGTAAATCAAAAATTTCTTTCTCTTTTTTCTTAATTCTTTGCGTTTTTGATTGAAACTAATAGGAAAATTCACGTAAACCACTTGACCGCGCTCAATGGTCATGTTAGTGATACCATTTCGTGTGATAAATGGGGTGAATACTACAACTTCTGCTCGTCCCCTTGTCGAGTTGTAATTTGTCATAAAGTTAGTTAATCCCTTATGATTTGATTGTATAATAAATAAATAAAACTGATAATACAAATAGAAACTAGTGCAATTTTTTAAGTATTAATTTATTTAATCTTTTTCCAAAGTTATTTAAGTGTATAAAAATGAAGATATTTTTTATCTACTAAATCTACATGTTTTGCGTAAATATATTATAGAGATAAATCATTAAGATTTATAAATAATAGAGAAATATAGAATTACAAAAAAAAATTGTACCAGCAAAGTCATTATTTTTAATTATATATTAAAAAGAAAATTATTGATAAACATAGGAACGAAAAATGAGAAATAGAATACGACAAGGAAACTAAAAATAAAATGAAATCTATAAAGTGAGCAAAAATAAAGAAGTATATATATATAGTATATAATATTAATGAGAATTAAGCACCTCGTTGAATTTCGAGAAGACGGTATCATGATGGAAAATTTTAGTACCATAACTAAAATCTGACTTCAAGTAGTAGCTTTTAAAGTATCTCAGCTGCGTTAGAGTAAATTTATCTTATAAACAAGACAAACTTCAAGCTCTCATTCCCATCATCCATAAACTTCGGACTGATGAGAATTTATATCTATAATCAATAATCAAAAGCTTTCAAGGTCCTTAAGCTTTTCTCACCAGAGAGAGAGACAGAGAGAAAGAGAGTGAGAGAGAGAAATTGCTTTTCATATTATAAAATTGTCTTTGCATCTCAAAGCAACATTTTTTTTATTATATATAGGTATATAAAATATTATTTTATAACACTTTATAAAAAAACCGCCATAATTTTCTATAGAAATTTGTTTTGAAAATTATATTTTTAATTTTATCGTAAAAATTTATATACTTTTTTTTTGTAACCTACATTTCATGAATTAAATTAGCTGAAAAAATAATTTTAATTTTTAAAAATGTTGCAAATTTAAAAACGAATATTCTCAAAATTGTAATTAAATTAATATTTAATTAATTTAATTAATAATAATAATTAATTGAATAAAATAAAAAAAATAATATTGTAATTGACACAAACATAGGATTTAAAAAATTTAATAAATTCAAGTGTCAATATTAAAGGACACATCGAATATGCAAAACCATTGAAATGACAGGAATTTAATTTAGAAATGGTTATATATAGGAAAACTTTTAAGAGAAGTTTAATCTCAAGTGAAACCGCTGCTTTGCGGCTGGGTTTATGATTGCTCAACATAACATTCGCAAACGACTTAAAGTTTAAACCCGGTCATTTAAGCTGCGGGCATTACGATCCCTGAAACTTCGATTGAACGAAGCAAACATGAAACTAGCTTTCATAAAATCCAGTCGAAGATTTATTATTTTTCAATATATATATTGTTGTTTCTCTAGTAGAATGCAATTTATTTTTACCGATCATTAATTTTTTTCCCCTGTAATTAATTTATATATTTTACCCGAAAGAGTGTATATTAATTAAAATTAATTGTTATATTAATCTTTTTTTGTTTATTATATTTATATTATTATTAATAATTAATAATTAATGCTCTACTTACGAGTTCCATCGAACCGTGTTGCAATAGTGTCAAGGAAAGTATTTTGAGGAGCGAGGAGGCCCTTCCTGGCGGGCATTGGGGCCACCCCGCCGCGCTTTAATGCGCTTAAATCTGAAAAAATTAGAACAATTTTAAAAAAATTAAAATTTTCATATCAAATAAATACATAACTAAATTAAAAATTATATCCACATAATTCAGAGGATGAAAGCTCGGGGTAATTCTTATGGAATTGCAAGAGATAAAATTTTTAAATGTAATTAAGTATTTATATAAATTACAATTTTTTTCACAACCTCTCATAAAATAAGTAACAGTCTTAAGGTATTAAAAGAAGAGTATATTCTTTCATCAAAATAGTTATTTGCGTTTCGTTTTTATGGTTCATCGTAAAAACCACACTTAAGTGATTTGTTATAAATCAATGTTTTAAAAGTAGTTAAATTAATTTAATTCATTAATTTTTGTTATTAAAAAGTGTATTTTTAGTTAAAAAAAATCTACAATACGTAAATTAGTAATTAGTTTCTAAATATTCAGTTTATAATTTTTTTTAACATTTGCAAAACGAAAGAGAAATTACACAGAATTTTATTCTGAAATTAATTAAATTAATTTTGAAACATTTCGTCAAGGAATAATATATATAGTTCATTTAGGGAGAATTTAATATTTCTCATATATAACATAGTTCATGAAAGATTTAGCGGAGAAAGTGCAAGAAAGTTTTGCAAGAAAATGATTTGTTTTATTGTATATATGTCCCAGATGGTGGCAATAATTATGATTATGAAATCTGACTGAACTCTATAGTTTTGCATAAACTTTATATATATATTCACATATTTTTAATCGTTATATGCATATTAAGAAAATACACTTGAGATAATGAGATGTCCTTCAAGTATACTTTAAATATATACCTATATACATCACTTTTAAAAGGATAAACTAGTTGTTAATTACTTTTAAAAAGTTTCTTGAACTAAAACTGTGGCAACTGTTGGATAATTAACAAGTCAATAGAAATGAGAAAGTTTTCTTCTATGCTAATATTATTATATGAAAAATTTAAACCTTCGACAACAAATAATAATTAATTAAAAAATAATACTTAAAAAATAATTAATTGAAAATTCTTAATTAGATGAAAATTAATAACTTATTAAAAATTAATAGTTTATTAAAAATTAATAATTCATTATAAATTAATTAATTTCAAATATTAGACATTAAAAATGGAGGGAAATAATTTATTTTTCTCACTACTAAAACATTAATAGGTTTCGAATTAAATTATTAAACTAGTAATTGTTCTATATATATATATAAGAAAAGTCATAATAAGATTCTGTTGCTTTAAGCCGTTTTTGAAAAAAAAACCTTCAACAAAAAGTGCTTCTTTAATATGATTTTCTATCTGTATTTTTTTTGTGTGTGAGAGAGAGAGAGAGAAAATTTCATGGCCCTCAATTCAATTCTATTACTCTCACTCGATTTCAACTGGATTGTACAATTTTCAGATACAAAATAATCCGCAAAGAATTTTCGTAATTAAATTTAAATTTAGAATTCCATTTCCGAATATTGAAATTTAAATAGAGTATGTATTCTGGAAGGAATAAAAATGCGAATCCTTTAGAATTGCTTTTTATAAAAATCAATTTTCTCGTACAAATATTTATAAAAAAAATATATTTTTTTTTGTAATATTTACAAAATTTTATGGTGAATAAATTATCAAAATTATGTATTTTTATGAAAATATTTAAAAAAATAAATAATTTAACTGTAAACGGATCTTTAAACAATCGAATCTTCTTATATTTCTTTGTTATTCGATGCAATTGTGACAAATCTCACGCTGGAAAGTTGTAACAAAATACCCAATGTAGAATCTAATCGAGCGTGTAAACGATATACATATGTATATACAGATAAAGTTTCTGCAATATTTGAAAAATTGGCTGAACGCTACTGCTTCCAATATCACAATTTCTACTTTTGCATTTTTCTTTATACAATGTTGAAATATAAAAAAAGAAAAGAATTTATTATTTCATCCTGAAAAAATAGACAATACTCTTTTATTATATTGACTATTGCAATATTCTTTGTACAAACAAAACCTTTTTTTAAAAAAAAGGAAGAATTCTCTTTTTTTGGGGGTTGATAACTTCTTAACTCGTTACAAGTTTTTTGTTTTAAATAATTTGATATTTTTCCAATATCAACAATAAATATTCCAATAGACAAACGTTAAAAATATTTCAAAATTTCGAATATTTTTTTTGCACTTGTATCTTGAAAATATTTTTAAAAAAACAACGCATTTTTTGTTGATGTTATTAATTACTTTGTCACTACGGAAAAAAACAAAAATTTGTGAAACACGGAGAAAAAAATGGGACAAAGTTTAAAAATGTGTAACTATTTCAAAAATAAATGAACAGCTGGTTACGTCGAATGAAATACATATATCAAAATCAGACATGAAATGTTAGAGAGAAATAGTCGAAATTCACTTTTTACGATTTTATATTTTTTTCCCTCTTATTTTACTATACTCTAGTTTCTGACAGAATAGAAATGTGACAGGAACAAAAGTCCAACTTATTTCCTGATTGTTTTATATATATATATATTGGCTCGTAGAAATTTTTTTTATTTTTTTACATTATAAAGTTTAAAGTTTAAATTAATATATAGTTTTGCTTTATTAAATAAATTAATGTTATATTTCAAGAAACTCTAAACTCCTTGTATATACTTTTTGTATTGTTCATCATTAGGAAAGTAGAATCATTAAATGTAGCAATTATCTTCATTTATATATAAAAGTTCTATATTTAAAGAAATTGTTGAAGTAACTTTAAAGCAACAATTAAATTTCTTTTTTATATAAGAAGATTAATTAAACTTTTTGGTTATCATGCACGATAATGTTGAATCTCCTTTCTGAGACAAGAGAAACAGTCTTTTTTACTTCTCTACTACTATAACAACAAAAAAAAGAACTCGTGGAAACAAAGCGCTTTATTCGAGTTTCGCTCTTTTATTTTACCCTTATTCTTTCTACGAACATTTTGTCGTGTTTCGTTCAATTTTGTTTGACTTTTCTTGTTTTGAAACATATTATTTTCAGACTTCTCTATTATAGTCTTAAAAAGCTGAAATAACAGTTTTCTGATATATAATATAATGTGATATGTCCTAAATAAAATTATTTGAGAAATTATTTATGAGACACAAAGAAAAGAAAAGAATTGTAATATTTTCTTGGAAAAATCAATTAAATGGTAAATTTATTGAGATTTAAGTAAAATTAAAGAGATAGAAAATTTAACAAATATTTTTACGTCGTGGTAAGTCTGTTAGCGTTTTTCAATTTTTGTGCGTCAAAATACAAGGCATAATTTTAAATGTTTAAATGCTGTGTTATAGGTTAAAATTAATAAACCAAAATTAGATGAAAAGTGACAATTTCAAGTTTTAGTGTAGCAATAATAAGCATAGAAAAATCGATATTCAAGAGAAAGCCATGGATATTATCTTGCTTGAGCTTTAGTATATAGGCAGATAGCTTATCAAATCGAGCGAATAAGTAAACTGGGGATAAGGACCCTTGTAAAATGAAGGCAATACGATGTTTGGAATGCAAAACTCACTCTTTGATGCTTTCATTTTGTATATATATATATAGAAAAGTCGAGAGATTCTACTAATGCTTCTTCCACCCGTGGAATATCTTGATCGAATACAAAACCAGGAAATGAAAATAGAGAGAACTTTTCGAAAAAGTTTAGAGGGAGGGGACTGAGTTTACGTTCACTCTCACTACTGTCAAGAAAATTACTTTGTCGCTTCTTATACTTAAATTGATTGTCAACTCCCCGGTGACTCTTAAACAAATGTTATAAATGTTTAGATATATAATCGATTTTTTTTATAATAAGAGAAAAATGAAAAAAAATGAGAAAAATTAATCAATGCTAAAGATTTTTTTCTTATTTCTATTTAAAATTTCCTTTTTGAAAAAATGATTTTCTTTAAGAATTTTTCAATTCTTTTTATTTTTAACTTCTCATTGTCAGTAAAGGCTGAAATAATGATTTATGAAAGTAAATGACTGACCCAAATTGTATTTTTTTAAAAATACTTTCTATTTAGTATTTTTAAAATATGTTTCCAGATTTCCCATTATGTATTGGAACCAAAATCTATAAATAACTGAAAAATCTATTTCTATATGAAACGTGCCTAAAAATGTCTAAGAAAAATAACACTAAATATTATATGAAAAAATATAGAAAAAACAAAATTTTGTAAACTTCCATTGATTCAAAAATAACTTTTTTGATAAATCCCTTTTTATTCGAGATAGAATTATTATATTGTATCATCACAGTAAATCATTCCATAAAAGCTTTTCCGCGTTTTGTGAATTCTTAGCTCGCTTTTACTTTTTTTTTGATAAAGCGCTTATAAATTGATGATTCTTAAAGATTCCTATTATAAGAATTCCAATAGTTGCGAATTTTATTTTCATTCTTTATGGGTATGTCAATATCAGCAGTTAAATGATAAATTCTTTAGTCACGGAAATATACAATTTTTATTTATCGTTTATAGTTGGAAAATATCAACTTCTATAATTTCAGTTCTCGAATCAGTTCAAATATTGTGTAATTTCATTTTGACTTTCACTTTTACTTCACTCTCATTTCACTTTCATTTTTAGTGAAAAAATCAAAAAACTTGTTTATATAGAATTAAAAAAAATAGTAATTATTATAATAATTAAAAAATAGAGACAATTTTGAGAAAAGTAGGTTACTGCAATAATATTCGACTTAATATTTTTGAAGATGAGCTCAAACAAAAGGGGTGTATTTTTAGGAAAGATTATAGAACAAAGGAGAAGGAAGTCAATTGTATTTTCATCTTAGTCTTTGAGCAAATGAAATGTTTTCTCAATGGTGTGAAATTTCCTCGTTAACGCGCAACCCATAAACAATGGCAAAGAGAAAACTTTTTTTTATATTTTTATTCAAATTTTAATGGATTTCTTTTTCTCCGTCGAAAAATATTTTAGCGATGATAAATGTTAACTTTTTTTTTGTTAAAGACAATGGGAATTGTTTATTAACAAATAATTGTGAAATTAGTTAAATAAAAAATTAATTGAAATCTAAAATTTAGGTACTTTAATTGACATTAAAATAATTAAATATTTTTTTCATTTAATTAAATAATTAATATAAATGAAAGTAATAAATAATAATATAATGAATTTATATTGAGTTAATATAAATTATTAATTATAAAAAAATTAGCAATTGGAAATTTTCAAATTTTAATATTTCATTAATAATAACAATTATATTATATAGAAATTATCTATTATAATTATATTATAATATCGCTGGAATATTTATTAATAACCATCACTCCGCGTGACACTATTTTCCGCATCTAATAAATCATATCACTCTTTACGCAGCTTTTAATAAATATTTTATCGATTTTGAAAAAACATTTTTAATTTTTTTCTTGTGCATTAATTATTTATTTAGTTATTTATTTAATAAGAACAAATTCCTAGGACTCAAAGGGCAACAAAGGAACTAAATGCTTAATTATTATAATATAATAATAATTATAATGATACACATTTTTTTCCTTATAAAAAAAGTATAAAATGTTAGAAACAAAAAGACAAACGCATCTATAAATAAAGATTTCTCGACGTGTATATATGTCTGACCAAATCGAGTTTATTCTACTTAAGTGAATTACTCCTTATAAGTAAAACACTGACAATAGTTAATCATGGTTAAAAAGATTATTGAAAGTATAATTTTTTTTTAACTTGTTAGAATTACAAGAAAATGTAAGAAATTAAATTAAAATCTTTATTTATAGTTTGAAGGAATATTTGGAAAATTTCGATACAATAAAAAAACGACTTGAGAATTAAGGGAGGGAAATGCTATTCAAATTCGAATTATTCGAATAATTTGTGAGCAATTAAGTACCATTTGTCATGGGGAAAATTAAGTGATGTATATCGATGATTGACTGAAAGGACAAATCTTCTATGAAATTTAATTCTAGAAGTTCTATAAAACAATTAAAAAATATTTTAAATTAAAATAAAATTTTCTTCGAACAAAACCTATTCATTAATAAGATAAAATTATAATTAAATATACTTCAATTTTCTGTAAGTCTCACGACAACCGTTAAAAAAAACAATGGAAAGCAACAATTCAGAAATTACGTTTAATTATACAAGACTCGTAAACAACACTGCACTACTATTATATGAAATTGAAGATGATTTTTTTTAATTCTTATAAGCTTTAATTAAAATTAAAACCTCTACATAATAGATTTGATAATTCATATTAAAATTTAGTTAGAATTTTTTAATTAGAATTGTTGATAATTAATGAAAAATGTTTTACCATTAACCATTTTCCCTTATACACTGAAAAAATTTTTTATTTGATTCAAATAAGCATAAAATATTGGCATTGGAAAATTAAATTCAAATTTATAAATAGTATAAATCATATATAAAAAAGTCGATAACCTTCAGTTTGTGGCAAATATTATTGAACTAATATCTAAACGAAGATAACAAGATGTAATTATGAAAATTTATTACTTATATATAAAGATAACATTATGTACAAATGTGTCGTAAAAATAAAAATTTATTCTAAAAATTATTAGATTTTTGTTTGAAATAGATATTTTGTTATTTTACTTTTTTTAATGTGCAATTTATTCTAAAAATTATAATATTTTACTTTCAAAATTAGAAAATAGTTTTGAATTAAAAATTATACTCAAAATTAAGAAATGTACATTGTGAATTAAAGAATATAATCTCAATGTAATAAGAATATAATCCTCTTGTTTAAAAGTATAATCCATGCATATTTTATTCCTGAAATTAGAATATAATATTTCTGAAATAATTCATAAATTAAGAAATATTCTCATCTAAAGAAGATTATTCTTTTTTTAAGAATATTACATATTCCAAAAGTAAGAATTAAATGCAAGGATTAAATTCTTAAAATCGGGATTAGAAATATATTTTTAGTATAGTACTTTCAGTGTGGACAAAAAAAAGTAATTTATACTTCTTTAATTTGTCAAATAAAGTTATTAGAAACTTAAATTATAAAAAAATTGATAAAAAAAAAATTATTTTTTTAAATTTTGTTAAAATTTTGTTAAAAATTGAAAAAATTTATTTTTACAAGAATCTTTTCATGATAATCCAAAGTAAAATCTGTCATTGTAAACACCGGCTAATAAAATTGAATGATTTACCCTCTATTTATTTGACACACTTTCTAAGAAAAAAAACAAGTTTTCAGTTGAAATAATTTCCGACAAGAATAATAATTATTGCGAAAGTAGAACAAAAAAAATAAACAATCGATTAAATGACAATATAATATAATTATTGATATGAACCTTATCTGGTGAATAGAAGCTCACAATTGGAGCATAGTTAAGGATCCTTCTTTTTCAAATTCCATCGTAACATTAAAAAATAAATTAACCCCTCATTTTTTTTCACTCAAAAAATTTTTTTTCACTTTTAAAATTATTTTTACCGACACTTCAATCGAAACAAGTTTTGCAAAAATATGATTAAAAAAAAAAAATTTTACACGATATTTTATTTTTTTTATCCGGATTAAAAGATATACACGCAAATCGCACGATGGTATCCGCGGAACTAAACAGGGGAGAGAATTTTCTGTCCTGATGGCCCGGGCGCCTGGTAGACTTGCGCCCGGCGAACCAGGCGCAACATGTGGGAAAACTTGTGCTATATGGCAGGCGCATATCCAGACATTTGTATTTGCCGAGTTTCTGCTTAGAAACACACTCTAAACCCCGTCGGATAAACGCATATACTCATTACTTCACACCGAGCTCAAAGTGCATTGCATTTTTTTTCTTTTTTTTGCAAAAGCTCCTATCTTCTTTTTCTTTTTTTTTATTGTATGCATATTTCAAGATGAGAAAAACCAATATTGTCCATTTTATTTATTCGCTATTTTTACTTGAAAAGAGAAAGGCTTTCATTAAGAATTACTCTCTAAATCTAAACTGGTTTCACTTATTTTAATTACTAATAATAATTAATAATTTTTAGTAAAATACTAAACTAATGGAAGTAGGGAAGTCTTTTTTCAAATTTATAAAGAAAAAGAGATATTAAAAATTTATAAGAAATCCAATGTAGAAAAATTTTAATAAATAATTTATATACATATATATACCTGATGCGTTAGAAAATAGTTACTATTGCATATAAATCCTCCTGCTGAAAGATTCAACAGTTAACAAAAATATATGTAAAACTTTTTTGTTATAAGAAATATTAAAAATTCATCAACATTTAATAAAGTTATATACTTATAATTGTAAAAATAAACCGACAGTTCACATGAAGTTATATGGTAACATAATTTGAAATAAATATATTTTTTTAATTTCGTTTCCTTATTCTATTTTTAAATTCTTGAAATTTTTTACCATAATGTAAAATCCCAACTACTTATGTAAATTAAAAGACTTTTTTCTTCATTTTAAGGAACTGTTCTTTAAATGTTCTACATTGACCATAAAAAATATATAATATAACGATTACTATTATTTTCACAAATGGATTTGTAGTATTTGAAAAACTATCTAAATTAACAGTGAAATATTTCATGATACAATGATATTATAAAAGAGCTAATAATGTTAATAATGAAAGGACTTATCTTTTAAATAATCAATTCTAGGTTAAAAGGAGCCTCAATCACTCTATATCAATAATAAATTTAAATAGAAACTAAGTCAAGGAAACTTTTTTTTTAAATCAATAGAAATCTGTCAAGGGAACAATAAAAATTTATATAAATTTCTAAACCTATAATATATGTTGTTCTTCAAATTATATATTAAAACAACTATATTTGGTGATTCGTAGTTATTAAATGTTTTACTACTGTGACCTAAAATTTTATAATATTGACTTCTATAATAAATTATTATCTGACATTTATTTCATATATTATGCTGAAAAAAAATTAAACTCAATTTTTTATTCACACAAAAAATAATAAAAAGTTTTATGCATATTTTGTTTGAGATTATCATTTGTTTTCGAAATTCAAATTGAAAAATTTCATTTTTTAAAATAACCATAATTTTTTCATATTTGAAATTTATATAATATAAAAGATAATAATTAAAATATAATCTTATTTTTAAATCACAGTAAAAATAATGTCATTTAATTGGTAACAATGATTATATAAATAAGAAAAGAAATTAATAAATTGAAATGAAAAAATCTGTTCTTGACAAGAAAATTGATTATAATCGATATACGTTTATTAGATGGAAATTCTTCTTTGGTATTGCAATTTTTTTTTTAAATAAAGAAACACAATATTGGCATACGTTAAATGAAAATAAAATTTCATTTTGTAAAAGAAACTGCAAGTAAAAAAAAACAATTTGCACATTACCGAAAATAAGATTTTTCACAAAGAGCTGTAAAGCAACTTTATCTTAAAGTACTTCTTTAAATTGAAAAGGAAAACAAGTTTTCCACTGACATGTTTCAAATTCTCATTTAGTTTATTTTTTTACAAAAAATTTTTGAAAACTACTTTAAATATTATTTGCACAATTAAATTAATTTTTACACTAAATTGCAAACTAATTTTAATAATTAATTTAAAAATCGAAATTTTAAAATATCGAACTATCGAAATGTAGATCCTTGGAGATATCGAACTATTGATATATCAAACTATATAATTATGGAAATATCGAACTATCACTATCGAAATATTGAAGAATCGAAACATTAAATTTTTGAATTTCAAATATATATAAAAATTGAAGAAATATTCTATTAACTTTTACATTCAAATTGAATATGAAGAACTCTTGATTAAGTCAAATACTGGTTTTCGATTTTCATTTTCTTTTTAGTGCTCTTGAATTTCTACTATTTCTTTAAATTGGATTAAGTTAAAACGACGATTCATCGAGGCTTTTGCCTTTAGATTTTTCAGTTGTATCCTTCAAAAGAGTGTCCTACTTTTGAAATCTCTTTCAAATCTCCTTTAAAAAGGGGTTTCAAATTTAATACAAATCATGGCACAAAGTTTTAAGTCACACTATGGACATATAAAATTTCTACAAAACATTTAATAAGTTAAAAACTCGAAAAACAATTTTAAAGAATATTTTAAATAAATAAAAATTTTAATTTTATTTATTTCATTTTTTTACTATTTTCAAATTAATTAAATATTTATATATATTGAAAAATAGCTTTATAAAATAAATAATACTAATTTATTTTTTGCCGTATCGATTATTAAACTCTGCTTTTAGCAGTTTATTTGGCACCGATCAGTCGCCTCTAATTTTCTACTTTCAATCAATAGTCAATACGATTTCACAATGAATAAAAATAAAAGTTCTAGTTTTAATGTAAGCTTCTCTTTTTTTTATTGTAAATAAACCCTGTATAAAATATAACCAAGATTATCTAAATCCCCAAAAGGCAATTTGTACCTTTCTCTTTCTAGAAAAATAAAACTCAATATATGTTTTCCAAACTAGAAAGCAGTTGGATGATATTGGTGATTGGATTGTCGAACTTCAACCTCTTGTACCGTTTTAGTGTTACTTTTTCACGAAACAAAAAAAACGTATCATGAAAATTGCTCGGCTTTAGTAAAATTACTAAAGTGGGAATTTAGAAAATTTTTTTCCCTGATATAATTTTACAATGAATTAAAATTTATTTTTCATTAATTGGTTGAAGAAGAGATTGAGTAAAAGGTTAGAATAAGATATATAAATAAAAAATTGGATTATGGGCAAAAAGAAACTGGAAAGGGAAGCCATTGGCACTGGCGTATAAATATTTTTAGGTTCGATTAAGAATATTGCGAACATACATTTTTAAATGCTGCCGAGAAATAGAAATATTCAACTTCAAATTAAACACACATAGAAATGAGAAAAAAAAGTTCCTCCTTTTCAAATGTTTCAAAGTTTTTATGACTTCCGATTGAAGAAGTATAGCTGCGGATTTATAAGAAAAGAAAATTGGTTTCGAAATGTTCAAAAGCCGCGTTATCTCTTTCACTTTTTCAAATGATGCAGCAAAAGTATAAAGTATATCTCGTATATTTATTGATTATTTACAGTTGTATATATATATTAAATAGCCTCGTATTGTCTGATACTATTTTGCATGAATACACAGAATAACCTACTGACACTGGTGACCCGAATGTAATGCTGATACATTGATGATCGATATCATACTATATCCTCTCTTACGGGTAATTTTCAATAACACACCATCAACAGCTGTTCGCACTTAATTTCTTTTCAAGTTCAACGTTTTACACGGATATACAAAATTTACATATCATGAATAAAAAAAAGGGATGCATAAACAAGCTCTAAAATTAATTTGCTAATAGAATTTATTTATTTTCATTGTATATAAAAAATAATTTGAACAAATAAAAATTCAGCTCAAATAAAATTCTAACAAATTAATTTTAGTTATTATTTAATATTGTTAATATGAATATATCATTTAATGTAAATAAAAAAATTTCTACCCAAAAGATATGTTTTTGAATGACATATCTTAAATTTAAAAAGGTGATTGATTTTCTTGCCTTCTAAAGCTTCTTGAGACGTGTTTATACAGCTGCAAGATAAATTAACGACGTTTGTTGAACCGTTTCCTTCAAAATTCTAATTTACAATGTTGATTTTTAACTTTTAATGAATTCAAGTAAATCCACACGAGTGCCATTTGTGCTTAACGATAATTTTTACATAAAGATATATATGACTTGATCGTGGTTAAAATTAAGGTATATAATAAATTTAAAAATCAGCTTTAGAGGCTAAATTTTCATGACTGAGAATACATGAAACAGAGAAATGTTCCTCCGTTATCAAGATGACATAAAAGCATTCCTAGAGGTATCAGTAAACATTTCTCTCGATTCAAATATATTATTTAAAAAATCGTATACAACGTCACAATTAAAATATACTTTATCAATTTTTTTGATTGCTTTGTAGTAGCATTTTTTCTTTTTTAAAAACATAAATTACAATTAATTTTACAGTGAAGAAAAATGAATTGAAAAAAACTGCTTGCATGAGCGCAAATTATAAAAGTGTCGGGTCAGTAGAGATTTGAAAAGTCAGAAATTCGATTTCTTGGTATACATGACGAGCAATCGTCGAGTTGCCTTTGGCACAATCTATATCTGGAACGTCTACAGGTTGTGCAGCTATTCATGAGAGCTTAACACGCGAGAAATACAGTCATCGACCCCCTCCAATCTAACCTAAGTGTGTAAGTTATACAATACTATGAAACTGACCTGCACCAACGTTTCATTCAATACTTATACGTTTGTACATTAAGTGCTGCACTTACACATTACGTTGACTAAACCTTATAAGCAATCTGAACTGTATTATACATATATAACGTATTCTGTTAGGCTTGTCGGTTAACCAATTTTCAAGTAGATCACCTATAAACCAATCACGTGATACATCAACTTGATCAAATTTATCCACTTACCAATTAATCGATTCGAGATAAACCAATATTGTCGCGATTAAAGAGGATCAACCTTCTACCAAATAATATCATTTGCAG